GTGTGTGTGTGTGTGTGTGTGTGTGTGTGTGTGTGTGTGTGTAACTCTAGTGCCAAGGCGGCTACCGAGACGTTAACGAACGAGAGTATTCGCCCAAATTTGTGTCTATTTCTTTTTGGTCTCTCCTTTATTTCTTGCGTGCACTAGTCTTCGATGCTATTTGGGTACTATTTAGCCCAGAGCACTCGTCGAATGTATTTTACTTCAACAACTCCCGTCTTCCAGTCCATTACAACCATACACGAAAAAATCATCCTTACGAAACTTTCTTTTACGGCTTCTTGGGTGGTTTCCGTAGCTACTGAAGATCAGGGCTTGTATTGTATTTGTTACGGCTAATTCGACGCCACCGGGCCACACCTTCATTTTTCCGCAGTGGTCTGTACGCATTTAACAGTAGAACTGGCGTAATCTCTCTCACCTCCCCCCCTTCGCTATTGTAAGTCAGTCTCTCCTCTTTCCCTGTAAAATTCTGGGGTCTTTTTTTGGGCAACTTTGTGCTCGCAGAACGCAAAGACATCGTTTCAGTTCTCAGTTCCTGTTTACTTAACTATATAAGTCGCCCTTATCCACATTTGCAGTCAAATGAATGAAGCCTTACAGAGTGAATGAGAGACAAGACTGATCTGCCGGAAAAACCCAAGTTCTGCCCAATGGAGTCAATTGAGCCGCGAGTTTTTGATCTGTTGGCAACGATCGGGATCGTGCAGAATCACTTCGAAGTGACGTTCGTTAGAAGTATGGCTAACAGATGATAGTGACAGTTCGACCATCGTGAACAACGATGTTCACAGTGTGTGTCCAAGCCGTGGTTGGTGCAGTACGGTGGCTTTTTCGTGGCTTAGTTCATACAATAATGTTAGACTTGCGCGGCATCTGCCGCATTCTTCTCCTACATGTGCCTGGGTCTGGTGTCAAGACCGAAGACAGGGTCGGCTGCAGTAGTGGACAAAGTTAAACAGCCCATCTACGCGCACCACACAACCTGGTCCATGTGCAGTCTACCAGGGTTTTACGGAAATAAAAGATCCTACTGGCTAAGTTAAGAAGGAGCCATCGAGTCTGACTGTCAGTCCTCCAGTAAGTCATTCCATCTACTGACCACAAAGATCCGGTTGGCCTATCGCGACAGGTTCAAGCCCGTAAGATTTGTAGTGAGGAATGCGCCGAACTACCGTGGGGTATGACTTTCCAGAGTCGACCTCAATCCCCCATTCTTCGCCCATGCAGTTGTCCGACTCTATCACCTGTCTGGTACTGATTACGGCAGATAAATCGGAAACTGGGGCTTTTTAATCTCCTCCGATATTAGCCACTAATGTGGACTAAGTTAGTCTGGATTAAGTTTTTGTCCTAGAGTGGCAAAATATCGACGTAACATTTGTCGGGATTTTTAGCTATTACCTCTGTTATCATGAAACCGGATGCTATAATCCCAACACCTTTGCCTTTGTTAATAACGCTGCTGTTACAAATCTTTCAACTGCATCCCAAGCCCTCACCCCTATTCGTCCATTTTGCTCGTTAGTTCCCTTCAAAAAAAAGTCCCAAGTGGCAGACAGTTCACCCTTCGACAGCCTCTCCTGCATCTCACCGCGTTCCAGCCCCCTCCCAC